GGATCATGACCTGAGCCGAAGGCAGTCGCTTAACCAACTGAGCCACCCAGGCGCCCCGAGATATTTTTCTAACCAAAAATATCTATTTCCTTCTATACTTGATTTTCTTGAAATAGTAGATTTTGTGTGATGTGCTGTGATCTCTGCGTTTCAGGTACTATGCTGTGATGGTAGCCATGTTCTTCACTGTCAGTGTGGTGAACAACTATGCCCTGAATCTCAACATCGCCATGCCCCTGCATATGATATTTAGATCTGTAAGTGCTGCCAGCTTACTTATGTATGTTGCTCTGGGAAATCTAAGTGGGTCAATTGAACACTTGACGAAAGTAGAAAGGTCTTATAACTAGTAGAGTCTAGCGTCTAAGCATAGGTCTCCCAGATGCATGAGCAAAGACTGGCTTTCATCTGTGCGGTAAGGCAGAGAGTGGACAGTTGACTGTCATCCCTCTGAGGTCTAACGGGTGATCAATAAAAGGAGCTAAAATTTCCCTGGGAGGCAGATTTTATGTTTCATTTCCCTCATCTGGTTGATTTTATATTCAGACTTGCTATGAATGTTACTTATTTCTCATCACTTTTGATTTCTTTCATAAAATTACATTTACTTCTAGTACATAAAATTGATACTTCCCTTTTTGATTTTTTTTTTTTTAAAGCGAGAGACTTTTGAGACCATTAAGTAAAGGGAAATTCTTATTTTTAAAAACTATTTATTTTAGAGAAAGCGTGCCCACACACAGGTGCAGTGAGGAGCAGAGGGAGAAAATCTCAAGGAGACTTCCCGCTGGTGTGCAGCCTGATGCAGGGCTCAATCTCATGACCCTGAGATCATGACCTGTGTCAAAAACCAAGAGTGGGAGGCTTAACTGACTGAGCCACCCGGGTGCTCTAAATAAAGGGAAATTCTTAAAGATTTTTATTTGAGAGAGAGACAGAGGATGAGGGGGAGTAGCAGAGGGAGAGGGAGAAGCAGGCTTCCTGCTGACCAAGGGAACCCGATGCAGGACTCAATCCCAGGACCCTGAGATCATGACCTGAGCCGCCAGATGCTTAACTGACTGAGCCACCCAGGCGCCCCAATAAAGGGAAATTCTTGATGAAGATGGGGTTTCTCCCAGAGCAGCAGTGGCTTTTTCCTTCCTCTCACGTTTGGTGGGAGATCTGTATATAAATAAGAACAGGGTGCTCCCTGAAGAGCAAGAAAACTTCAAGGGGAATGTAGTTAGGATTGCAGAAGAATGCAAAATTGGTGACCATTGGAATTATAACATTTCTGTGTAGTCTGAGATTTCTGGGAGATTAAAGGTGCTATCTTCAAAGGGACTTCTCAGAGCTAATTATACTTACAGAGATGACTTTCAAAGTACTGAGCACATAATAGACTTTCAATAAACCCTTGCTGATTGAGCGACAGCTTTCTAGAGAAGAGAAAGATCCCTGCACGCCTTCTTTCATTAATTAAAACCGGGGGTGAGGAGAAGCCTAGCAAAAGCTCTCATAAATCAGATGGAAAATTTAACAAAATTAAGTCTACAGTATAATTTCTGCTAGCCTTAGTTTCAGAACTCTGACCAGTATTTAGAGAATTGACCATTTTTATTCTCATTGTTATCTTCAGAAGGTTTTATTAATTTACGTAATAGATTTGTATGGTTTATACTTTTTGCCATTATAAGAACAAGTGAACCTTAGTAATTATTCATTCTAACCTCCTCCTTTCTGGCTCTTTTTCCCGCTTGTCGGTGTTCTTATTTATCTTGAATTATTTTCTTTCCCTGGTGCACTAAAACTCTGTTACTATTGTCCTTTTACAGGGTTCTCTAATTGCCAACATGATCCTAGGAATTATCATTTTGAAGAAAAGGTAAACAATATACTTTCATATTTTATGTGTAGGAAGGATATTCTGAGCCCCGTCCATAAGCTGGATTCCTTCTCTCATAGTGGTGATAAGTTTGCTCTTGATCATCCAGCTTTTGTCTTTGTTCTCTCCGTGACAGTGCTGTGCGTCCTGAGGCAGTGGACCAGGTAAGGGGCCCCCCTGTGACTTTGGAGCGGCATTTCCTCTGTGTAGAACGAAGTAGCTCTTGTCACCACGGAATCTTCAGTAGCATAGTAACCTCCAAAGCCAGCTGATCTAGAACTTCACTGTCCCATGTGGTCTCCACTAGCTGCATGGGACTATTTACATTTAAATTTAAGTTATTTAAAATTAAATAAATATTTAATTTCTCACATTTTAAGTGCTTAGTAGCCACATGTGGCTAGTGGCACCCATTTGGAGAACCCAGCTATGGGACATTTTCAACTTCACGGAAGTTCTTGGACGACGCGGTCGTAGAAGGTGTTTATCAGTACAATGTGATGAACTGACGATACCCATGTTAGAAAGAAAGTTCCTAACAAAGACCCAAATGGCCAAGAAGATGGGGTGAAAACTTTCAGGACTGTTCTATGTGGCTGTCACCATTGCCTCTTTCTGGGATATGGTTGGGAAATACCAGAAATGCCTGGGATACTTTCTCAAAGTATTTGTCTGCCACCTTCGTTCTGAGCCTTACCCCTTACTCCCAAGGAGGAAGGACGTTGGGGAGCGTCAGCACATTCAGTCTGGAACATTCCTCAGGGGAAGTTCACCCTCACTATTAAGATCACGATGGTACAAGCTCACGCCAGCTTTTCTCTGTATTCAGTGTCTAGCCCCAGTGTTAGAACTAAATAAGAACAGGGTGCTCCCTGAAGAGACGGTTGAATGAGTGTTAGAACTCTAGACCAGCTTAGAAAGTGCTGCCGATTAAGAGTGTGGGAACCCCGAGTATTTAAGTAATAAGAGCAGTGTCCTAAGAAGGACAGTCGTCCTGTCCTGCTAGGCTCCTTATCGTGAACGCTTTATCTTCTGAGGCTTATGTATTCCCCAGATGAGTACAACTGCAGTTGACTTCTTTTCCAGGTCTCCACATTAAGTGTTCATATGTAATAGGTTTGTTACATTGAAGTGACTGCTAAGCTTCTTGGTAGTGTAGACTTGACATTGGGACAGACCTGCGGGCCTTCCAACCTTTGATTTTGCTCCTAATAGGGCTACAAAAGAACATATTATAAAAGGAATGTATTCTGCTGATAGTGCTCTGAAATGTCAGGGGCCTTTCTTAAACATCTCTGTTTCCCTGGAGAAGTTGTTTTGGGTCTGTCATCTTGAATCTATCCAAGTAAGCCTTTTTGACTCTCCTTGGTGTGTATCACCCAGAGAGCAGGAATTTCCCTAAGGTGACCATCTAATATCAGGAATTAGTAAGTTGTTATCTTCTTTCGTGTATTTTGAGCAGAGCCCCTTAGGTTCATAGTGTGTTCCTCATTCTGGGATTTGAAGACCAAGTCTATACTTACCTGAACCTGCCCTTTGTTAATTTTTAGGCCTGAGTTACAAACCTCTCTCTATCTGGATCTTTCCAGACTGAAGAGTTCCCTTACTTTTCTGTCTCCTTCCTCAGGGCCTGTTACCTCATCCTGCCTCTGTCCACTAGCAGGTTGCTCTTGGCCCCTGATCTGCTGCTTAGCTAGTCCTGTTGGCCTTTTATGAGGTGATGTGATCAGAACTGTGCAAAGTGTTTGACTAGAAAACCTCGGATGGTTCATCCTGTAAATTTAATTCCTTTTCATTCTTGCCTGAGGCCTTCTGCTTTATCAGTAAGAGCCCAAGAGGGATGTTAATGATGTTGTTTTAGTTATTATGAAATGCCACTGTTCTTACTGCTAGTAGTCCTGTTAGTGTAATATTTCTTCTTTTATCCAACTGTGCTGACGTTTAAAAACATTTAAGTCATTCAAAGGTGTTAAAAATATCCTCTCCCGACAGTGGACAGTTGAATGATTTTTTTTTTTTGAGCCTTGAGTCCTGCTATTTGTCTCTGATACTCTGTTCTTCCTCTTGTCTGGTGTGTCTCTGACACTCATGTTTGGGCCCCTGAAGAGCAGAAAAGCCACAGGAGGCAGTTAAGATCTGCCCAGCTTTCATTGGGACTCAAGCAGAATGGAATATCATATCTGGTCTATGTCTTTTTTTGTTTTTGTTTTCTGATGAAACATCTCTCGGTCCACAAACTAACAGAAACTATTTTAAGCAACACTAAAAAAGGGTGTTTAGTCATTAGCACCCTGCTTCCTTCATGTGTGTGATACTGTCAGCTGTATTTTGGTGATTTGTGCTCTTATGCAACATTTGACTGTGAGCATCATGTGGAAATTCGTATCGGTGCTTTTCTTTTCTTAAGGTGTTCTTGTTCTTGTTTTTGCAGATACAGCATATTCAAATATACCTCCATTGCCCTGGTGTCTGTGGGGATATTTATTTGCACTTTCATGTCAGCAAAGCAGGTGGTAAGAATCGCTTCACAAATCATTTCTATTCACTGCTTGCTGTGGGGGCCCCGGTACTTTTATTGATACGGTACATTTACAGGCTTATGCAATAGAAGGATCCGGGTCTCTGCAAGAGGAGAGTGGAGGGGACTGGGTAACGCAGATTGTTCCTTTCTACCCAGGCACCTTGCATGTAGTTCTGGTCTCTCTACCTGGTGTTTTTCTTTCCTTCCTAGACTTCCCAGTCCAGCTCGAGTGAGAATGACGGATTCCAGGCATTTTTAAGGTGGCTACTAGGCAAGTACAATAATTACAATAAAGCTAATTGCCTCTGCAGTTCTGTTTGCTGAATTTTCTCCCGAGAAACAGGTTTCTTGGTAAGAAGCTTTGGCTAAACAGATTATGCCACAGAAGAGAGAGGCACCTGGGATCACCTATGTCTGAACTTTGGTGTTCAGAACATGAAAAAAAGAAAATGTCCATGTTCAGGGTGGTGTGTTCTACAATGTGGATCCACGATTTCCTTGGTTGCCACTGGTATAGAAAGAAAAGTGCATGTCAGTTGCCTGTCCCGCTTTCTGGGAGCGAGTGCTTCGAGTGTCCTCCTTTTCTTCATGATCTGTCTCCCGAGTAGAAGCGGTAAATTTCCAGGGGACTCATTTCTAAATCTTAGATTCATTTTCTTCATAAGTTAGCTCTTCCATAATGAGTGTTCCCAAATCTGACTGATCATCAGAGTCTCCTAGGGAATTTTTAAAAATGAGTATCTCTTTGTGGAATTAGACAACTCCTGTAGAGCTTTGGCCTCGTGTTGTCGGATAGGAGGGGAAACTCTTTCCAAGTGCAGCCGGTAGCAGCAGGAACAGATCGAGACTAAGCCGCAGAGAAATAGCAATGAAAGAACTCGATTCTCCCTGCTGCTTGGCTTCGAAACTTTATCCCTTCAGGTCGCTCTTCACATAGAAAAATCTTTAAGAGCTGTTAGAAAACACTTCATCCGATAAGAAAAATTTGCAGAGGATATGAACATACAGTTCACAGGGAAAAATTAATATCTGATTATTAGGTTCAGCCTCAATAGTTTTGGAATCAGAGAGATGCGAATTGAAACCAAAATGTAGTACCTTTTTATTTTTGGCCTGTTAAAATGGCAAGAAAATAAACGATTATTCTCATTGCTGCTGAGGGTGCATTTTTGTATAAACTGTTTATGGTAGAAACTGATACAGCCTTTCTGGAAAAATTTATGTAGTGAGTTTTAAAAATGTCTACAACTTTTGACTCTGTAATTTCATTTAGGAAAGTTTATCCTAAGGGAAATCATCAACATTTTGTTTAAAGATTTATGTACAAGGATGTACATTGATTTGAATGGTGAAATAATTGCAAGTAATCTAATCATTCTCCTGTTGTAAGACAGTTAATATGGTCCCTCCACGTGATAGAGTCATGGAGCCATGAATTCATACCGTTGAAAAAATTTTAATCACTTGAAGGAAAATCCAAGAAAAAGATCATGAAGAAAGCAAAACGTACAATTGTATGTTCATTATCCTGTTTTAGCATAAAATATATACATAAATATATATATATAGAGAGAGAGAGAGCGCAACCTATCAAGGAGTAGGTAGTGATCCTGTGGTTGATTTTTATTTCTTTTAAAAATTTTGTACATGTTCTACAACTGGCTTGTAATTAGTGTAGAACAGTCGGTGTTCTTGAGGAAAACATCTGGAAATGAGCAAATCTAGTATCTTGTAACCTGATTTTTGTTTTTTTTTTTAGGAATTGGGGCACTGACTTTTGCACTTCTGATGTCAGCAAGGATGGGTATTTTCCAAGAGACCCTATACAAACAATTTGGGAAACACTCCAAGGAGGCTTTGTTTTATAATGTAAGCAATTTCTTGAACCTGAGGAAGATAAAAAGTACTGAGTTGTAATCTGTTATTTCAAATGAAATACGCATTTTTCTGATGTAGTTGAAGGACCAAGTATTTTTAATAGGCTACTAATGTGTATTCTGAGCCACAGTTCTCTACATGAGATGATCATGATCAGTGTGAACCTAGCGTGTCTGCTAACCAGGAACAAGTCTGGGGATGAGAACCTTCACCGCCCCCCATGTTCCGGAGATGAAATCAAGTTAAAACCACTATGGAAATTTGGAACAGGAAAATAAGTTCCAAAAACAACATGTCGAGGGGGACGTTGCCAGGCAGGTGGGCAGGCATTTGAGAGAGGGGGGAAGAGGGGTGAGTGCAGTCCCTCTGGGGAGCTCTCTCTACTCGATGGGAGAGTTCATTACCTACTTCTGTGTGCTTCTGCTGCTTTTTTGGAAACTGCTGAGCCAGAGCTACCCTCTCTAACTGTGCTCTTCCTCCAGCCTCTCTCCTATGGAGAGAACATCTACAACACAGCCCCTCAAGGTTCTGGGTGGTAGAGATGCCTTCGGCTTCAGTGTTCAGGTGGAGTCAGATGAGTCAGATGTTCCTTCACCGCCAGCTTTTTGTACTGAAGTTGCAGACAGTCCGGTTGAGATACTTAACTGGAGCTGGAGTATGTGGCTGGGAGTTTAAAAAATAAAGAACAGTCTATCTGGTTCACAGCTTTCTTTGTGAACAGTACCTGGCACAGAGTAGCTGGCCCGTAACATTAGCTATGATCCCATACTGTGGTGCTGGTGGGCTGTTGTCAAGCACGTTCACCTCTGCTTACCTGTCATTTCCTCTCCTCTTCGTCCTTTTTATCCTTGTCTTCATTTCATTTTCCCTGATCTCGTATTGTCCTCAAACCTCTTTGTCCCACAAGTTACCTAAACTCCCTGAAATCGACCTTTGCCTCCTTTATAATTTTTAAGTCCTTCTGTTGGCTAAGCCATTTTCAAAAGTAGCAAAATGTAGCAAATCCTATGGGCCGAATGGCTGTGAGTTCAAACTTCCCTTTTGTTGGAGGAAGGATGCTGGCTCCGTTTTTTGTTTAGTATGTGGTGATCATCTGACTCCATTCCGTAAGGGCAAGAACTGCAGTTTGGGGTCAGTAGCACGCTGGATAGTGTCACCTGGTCCAAAGCCCTGGATACATTTAACCTAACGAGTCTGAATTGCTTTTCTTGATGCAGTTTTACGAGTTGTTTGACAAGCAGTAAGTCATTGTAAAGCTGCTTTACACATTGTATCATGTGTCTGTATTTAAATTTACATGAAATCTTTCTTCCCATAGCATGCCCTTCCACTTCCTGGCTTCATCTTCCTGGCTTCCGATATTTATGACCATGCAGTTCTGTTCAATAAGTCTGGTGAGTGGGATGTTATCCAGTAGAATTACCTGACAGGTTCTCTGGCCACCTCTCAGTTTTGCTATTGACTTGACCGCTGCTTTTTTTCACGATCTTATCCAAATCACTGCCCTATTGGGAGCCATCCCCCCTTCACCTCTTGGGGATACAGTGCTGTTCAGCAGCAGCTACAGCGGCAAAAGCTTTTACAGGTGCTTCTCAGTCATTTGCAAACGATGGAAGAGAGTATCTTCAAATTTTCTGTTTTGCTTTGGAATTTGTGTGTTTGCATTTGCATGTGTGGAACATTTGATGCTTTGAGAATGTAAAAAAATAGCGATACCCCCCTGCAGAGGTGGGACCGTGAGAAACTGGGCAGCCGTCCAGCTCTGTGTGTTCCTGCTCTTCCTTTGCTGCTGGTGAAGGCAGACCCGCTCCCACACCCCGCCCTACCTCCTGTGGAGCGAGGGGAAACAAGAACCACAAGGGGGCTTTTTTCCAAGATACAGGGTAGGTAGGCAGCAGGAATAAGCAAAATTAGTTCACATGTCTACAGGGTAAGTTAGCTATTGTTAAAGGGGCTGTTTAATCAACTAGCTATAAATTGCCAATTAACTTGAAAGGAATTACTTATGTGACTATCGACTAAAAGACATAGTGTGTACACAGACACATGAACACACAGGAACAAATAAACGTGTAAAATTAAGGCTTTATGTTGCTCGTATCTAAAATGGCAGGTGTGTTTTGTGGTAGGGGCACTATGTGCCCTGTTAACTTGTTTGCCCTCAGAACCTGCGTTGGGAAGTTGTGAATGCTTCGTGTTGGAGTTTGCAATGTTGCCTGTCCCATTTACCCACCGAAAGTGTGTAATGAAGGTAGCGTGTCAGGAAGTTTTTAAGGCTCCAAATTACTCAATCATTTCTGGCTTTTCTTTTTTTTTTCCTGAAGATATAATCAACACATGGCCATTTTTGACACAATGATTTTTAAGGTCTCTTGAGAATTCCCACATAACGAAGGACTACTGACATAAACATATTACCAGATTCCTTGGGATTGATTTTGATTTAGTTACTAGAATGCTGCTTCTAAAAGTCACAGGGATGGGTATAAAAGTAAAATCTTTTTTAGAGTCTGCCTTCAACGTCTTCAAAATCATCCCTGAGTTAAGTATATGCTTTTTTCTTTCTCTGGCTTGCCTTGAGGTTATCTCAGATGAACCTGTTATCCTTGAATTTGTTCAGAGAATTGAATATCCACCTAAATATTTTGAGTCCTACTGATGGACTCTTACCCAGCAAATTGATACAGTGGATCTCTGAAGCTATTAAATAGTAATAATACTTGTTAATTTTCATTTCAGTACATGCTAAGTGTTTCAAAGACAATGGAATACCAGATTATGGGGATTAGTCCAGACAGTTATATTACCTTTCTTTATATATACGTCTTTTTATGTTTTGCACAAGAGAAGTAACATTCATTTACTAACCAGACCTCACTGTCACTATTAGAATTTCCTAGGTTATACTGTATAATTCAACTCCCCAAACAACTGAGGAATTTTTAAAAACGGATCTTTTGAGGATTACTATGTCCTTACTCTCTTTGATCTTGCATATTTTATTTCCTCCCAAATATTTACTGTGCAAGCCTCATAACATAAGAATGTATTTAAAGGAAGAAAAGTTACAGTTCCATTGCCTTAGACGTCAGCTAATTTCATTTTAGCAGTTTCTTTCCAGATACTGTTTACATATATTCTTACATAGTTGTCATCCTTGTGTAGATAAATTTTATACTTGCTTTTTCACTTGCCTTCTTTTTTATGTGAGTGTATATAATCTTCATGATTCTTTTTTTAATCAGATGTGTCCTGCCTCATTTAGTGGAAGTTCTTTGCTTACACAGCCATTGCTCTAAGATTAGCCATTGAGATTGATTCAGTTTCTCCTCATTATAAATAGTACTCCCATCAATGGAGAATTCTCTTCTTCTTTTGAATTCATGAGGACTAATTCCTAAGAAGGAATATAAATAACTTGTATTGTCCTTAATGTAAGCATTATGAAATTGATTTTTAAAGAACACACCCCAGTTGATACTGCTACCAACTGAGTGGCTGCTAATTCCACTACCACCTTTCCAGATTAGGATTTTATAAGTTTTTAATTGCTGTTTTAATAGAGTATAAAATGGTAGAGCCTTGTTCAGTTTTGAATTCTTCAATTACTAGTAGGATTGAGTATATTTCCAAATGGCATTTAGTTATGGGTTGTCTTTACTCGTGTGTCGATTGTCCGTTAAGACCATGTCATTTTTAACTTCTCTGTGCCTCACAGTGTTTCTTTGTAAAGTGGGGTCGTAGTCAGGTGGATGGTGAAGAGTTTATTTTACAGGTAAAATAAATAATTTAAGAAACCAGTGTAATGACTCTTAAGACCGATGTAGTCTGGAATCAAGGCAAGTAAAGTGGTCTACCGTCTAAATCTACTTGCAGGGGAAGTACTGTTGCTGTCTCTGTTATGTTCAGTCTCCATTAAGCTGTCAAAAATATGACTGTCTCTCCTCTTTATCTTTGCAGAATTATATCAAGTTCCAGTCATTGGTGTGACAGTGCCCATCATGTGGTTTTACCTCCTCATGAATGTCATCACTCAGTATCCTTTGCACTCCTCTGCCACATGGTCTGCTCCATGGTCTTTTGACATAGGAATGTTTATTCTTCTGACGGTGTGGTGACATGAGTTTTGTTTCTGCCTTGATCTGTTCTGTACTACCGGAGACAGAGGTGGCTTCGTGGGGGGCCAGAGAGAGGTTAGTGCTGCAGGAGGTCAGTAAGTCACTCGGCGCCATAAAGGAATTGCTCTGGGTGGACGTGTAGAAATCAGTGGATAACTAAGTATTAGTATATGACATGAATGCTCTGTGATTTCTGCTGGAGTTTTTCAGTAACCTAGGATATGTCACAAGCTGCCACAAAATTCTGCAACAAATTTCAAACTAACTAAAACCTAATTTTTTCAATGGTTCTTTTGAACAACTTTAAGTATGTTATAAAAGTCATGAAGGCTTTGAAACCGTGAAACAGGTCGAGATTGGTTTCATTCCTCTGATGTCACCTAATAGATTTGCTGGCAGAGTTCCTTTTTGGATGAGTAGGTGGAGCCCGGGTCCTATAAAGTAAGTTTGCTGCCCTTTTTTGAAAGTGTTACCTACCTTCTGTCACTACTTGGGAGGGGGACCCTCACCGTAAACCGTGTGAAGAATTCGGAACAAGAATAATGGGAGTTCTGCAGGCAGTTTCAAGTTAGGATCCACAGATGAATGGTAGGACATTCATTCTGCAGGATGTTCTACTAAGGAAGAGCCTCAGAGCAGCCATAACCCACCCCCGTGTTTTCTGGTTCTTAGAATATGAACATTTAAACCAAGAGCGATGCCAGAATGTTCTCCCTGGTGTTCTCTCTGTAGTCTACCGAAAACCACCTTAACCCCACCACTCCAGGTACGTGTGTATCCGGGGCGTCTTCATTCTCACCACAGAATGCGCCTCCCTTACCGTCACCCTTGTTGTGACTCTGCGCAAGTTCGTTAGCCTCATCTTTTCCATCTTGTACTTCCAGAACCCTTTCACTCTGTGGCACTGGCTGGGTACCTTGTTTGTCTTCATTGGGACCCTAATGTACACAGAAGTGTGGAACAACCTAGGGACCACAAAAAGCCAGCCTCAGAAGGACAAGAAAAACTGAGGTCTGCGTGGAGCAGAGACCAGTGTCCTAATGTGCCAGGGTCTGGTGAAAGTCTGGCCACCATTTCACGTTCGCTAATGCTGAAGTATTGAATCAACCTTGTACCAGAGAATCCTCAGAAAGAGGGACTTCTCAGATTTCTTAAGGCTGTACAGACCAACGTTTGCGGACTCTAAATGGACACCCCTCAACCACGAAGTAGAAACAAGAACAGTTCTCTGCTATTGAACAGCCGGTTTGTTACTTGTTTTGTTTACCAAAATATTTAGTACTGTTACTTGTTTATGGAATCCTGAGTCCCCACAGCTACTAGTTTTATATGCGTGGTCTCAGATGAGTTGATCTTTTGTTGCCATTCTGATGATTCTCTGCCACACAGTCATTATCCTCCTGTGGCCTCGTCCCTTCTTTCTGTCACCTTTCCCCTCCCCCCCCCACCCCCGCAGCACTGTCAGCCAGTCAGATGCTCCAGGCCTCATCCTTGGGAAACAGCTGCGTGGCCCTGTGAATTGAGACCCCAGTGACATTGGGCCCGGAAAAGAAGCGGTTGTCCCTGTGAGCAGAGCCTTGTCACCCTTGAGCAGGGCCGGTGGGAATTCTTTCCTCCATCTTGCTTTTTTTTTTTTTTTTCCTCTTATGCAAGTCTTTTGCTTTCTGTGCTTTAGAACAGACCTGCGGCGCATCTCTATGGCACAGAGTTAATAAGAAAGGTTTATGTGAGTCGGGAGGGAGAGATGTTTTCCTCCGTCTTGTACATGGAGCCCTTCAGCTCCGGGAGCAGCTGCCCCTCGGCGGCACCCAGAGAGCCCCAACTCCCCTCTGGGCCCAGCCAGGCACACGCAGGGCTGGTTCCCAGTGGGTGCGTTAGCTCTTTGAAAGGCTTCTTAACCAGAGATGCCGCTCTGCCTGTCAGTCTGATAGAGTCATGGGCAGTCAGGCTAAGGAGTAGACTAGTATATGGTGGGCGTGGTGGGTAAATCAGGTCCAGTCACAGTGAAAATGAAGGTGGATTTTTTTCTTTCCTAAGAGGTATCTCAGTGTTCTTGGTGGTTATTTACAGGTGGTTGGGAGGTAGTGTGTTCTGCTGTGTAGAAACATGATGCCCCTTCTGGCTAATCATTTCAGAGGTGTGGTTTTTCCCTCCTGGGATAATTTTGAGAAAGAGGAACAGTGTCAGTATAGCATGTGTAAGAGAGAACAAGCGTTTGTGTAGTTCTGTGATAATACTGGAGGAGAAAAGAGCATGAAAGTCTTTTCTTCTATTTCCTCATTCTTCACTCAGCTTCGGACCTTCATTAACCTCACAGAAGTACATACACTTCCGTCTTTTGCACACAGAGCCCTTCCTTTGGGCACAGACTGTGTTCTTACATTGCGATGTGGTTCTCCAGATCTCCTTGTCTCATTCTGTAGTGTGGATATTTCCTTATCTGCAGCTGTTCTCTGATGGGGTCTGAGATAAGTGTTGGGTCATTGGGTCGCTCTGGGGAAGTAACTTAAGCTGCCTCATTGTTTCTCCATGTTAGTCACCGGGTTCTCAGACTAATTTGTTGTTCTGAAGGACAACTTTCCAGAGCTAATAATTGGTCTACCCTAAAAGATGCCAAATTTGGTGTGAACCCGTTCATGGAATCAAAAGGCATTTTCTTTGAAATATGTAGAGTTCCTCAGGCTGATGATGCTATAAATAGCATGTGTTAAATATCCTCTTAAAAACAATTAATAAAAGCTACTTTTTAAAAAATCACTTAATAGAAGAACCTGTCCCTAGGGGCTATTGGGTTGCTATGTATCTGGAGTCTTAACAGGCTTTCATAACTTAGTGTTATCCTTTTTATGTTGATGAAAATTTTTAGTTATTGAAATGTGTTGGTGTACATAGACAGCATTTAACTGGGTCTGTTAGGTTTTAGATTCTGGTTTTAGAAAGTACATGTCCCTCTTAGTCTGAACACCTCTGCTGGTTTTATTAACAAGAGGTTATATATGGATAGATTATGGCACTTAAACAAAAAACGAACATATGTAAGAACAGAATGTCTGAAGTGCCCTCTGAGTTGATTTTCTCTCTAGTGGCCGGATGTAAGAAAATATGTCTAATGGACACTAATACTTCCATTAACAACTTTTTTTGGACCATTTATTTCCATAGGATAACTGATTTTTCAATCCAGGTTGAAACTAATTTCAACTTTTATTAAAGAGGCAAATAAACCATTTTGTAGAGGACCAGACCCATGCAACTGAAGGAGAAATGTCTATTACAGTGCTTCTCTTCTCTGGGTCAAGACTATGTAACTGTGTACCCTAGAGCTAGAGTTTGTTTACAAGAGAGATTGGTGTTTAAGACAGCCAAAACTCTACCCTTAGAGCAAAGATCAAATAGCAGATGGTACTAGCCAGAAAGTATAGTGTGTGTGTGTGTGTGTGTGTGTGTGTACATGTGTATACATACTGGGGTACCCACTTAACAACTTGACCACTGTCATAGATAAAGTAACAGGAGAAAATGGTGGATATTTGAATTAATGTAATACCTACATCATTTTATACAATTCTGTTGTCACATTATAAATGCTCTTTTTCATTTTTTTTTTCTTGATCCTTTTTATTTTCCTTTTTCCTAAAACAGTCATTAATGTACTTGGTAAGTGTCTATCAAGTTTTAAAGTATTTAGACACAATCTGGTTTTTCCTCCTTCTTCCTGCCCAGTTATCCAATTACGAAATGCTCCAGTACCTTACTCTTGTGGGAAGATTACCTGACATTTTTAAAGCATTCTAATAACTTGAGGTCATTTCTTGAGCACCTTTCCTCCTTTCTGCCCTATTTTGTTTCCCTCCTAAGCCCCACCTCCAGTGTCCTCACTGCAGTCCCTGTTCACTTGTGTACTTTTCCACTGAAAATTTGTATAGTTTTCCACGCCTGTAATCTTGTATCTGTTTATGCCTCTGTTCTCTGGGGCCTCTCAGATGTTTTTCTGGATTTTTACAAGGTATTTATATCTGTGTAGCACGTATTTTGTTAGACATTGTTATAAGCATTGATACTTGGAGTGTGAGAAGATCTGGCCCATATGTGAATATATGTATAGGTAAGTATGAACATGAGGGTAAATGTAAAAATGTTTATATGTTTTGTTACCTGAAACGGGGGCTGAAAATCTTAACCACCATGTTCTTCTATATTTGGAAAATAATGTTCTTGTTTGCTCTTTTCACCCCACGTTGAGCTCACTTTACTCACCAGTGCCAAATGCCAGGGAGAGGGGAGGTGGAAAACCTCAGGAATTATTCAGAGCCAGTGAATTAGCTGTGGGCTGGTGGATCAGTTGGCATGTCAGAGTGAAGGGGAGGAAGAAAATTTCCTGTCCAAGGTTCTTCCTGCTGGACTAGGAATTAAATTTACATGATACAGATTAACAGGAGGAAAAAAAAAATCAGTTTTATTTTGTGCACCCGGAGTCCCAATAAGGAAACTGAAACCTAAATAGAAGACCAAAGCAGGCATTTTTAAAATACACATTTTAGACAGTAAACCTGTCAGGAGTTGACGGGATAAAGAAAACGGATGTTTAGGAGCTTTAGTAAGGAATTCGGGCTGTGGTAGTAGATTAGTAAAAATATAACCAGGTTTGTTTCTGCAGCTTTCTTGGCTTTAAAGATTTTTTTTTTTTTAGTTTTCTTAGTGCAGGGAGGGTACCTTTCACATGGGAGACTTATTTTCTACTTTCAGGAGGATAGAGGAGGGTCTGAGTGTCCTTGTACATGCTGTTTCCCACATAGTTTCAATTCAAAATAATGAGTATGCCATTGTGGTACATTATGGGGCCTGCCCTTGGCCCCTGCAGTTCCCTCCACCAAAATTTCCCTGGAAGTTTCACACATTAAAAGTTCCAGATTGTTCCATTTCAATGAACCAGTCTGGGTTCTGACGATAACGTCAGTTTAGTTAAACTCATTTCAGGAGGTGGTGATGTGTTCTCAAAGTTAGTCCAATGGTTTGAATCAGGAATGAGTAAGCCATTTCTATGGAAACAAAAGCAATGGTTAATGATTGGATCAAATTATAAACCGGTTTCTGAGGGGAGCAGTCGAGTGGATTTCTGGATGACTGGCAGTGGCAGTCTGATGTATTTTCGTGGTTTGTAATTGGAGTTTCTGTGATCTTTCTGAGTCATCCGTAGAGCAGCAGGCATGGAGATCGTGTACATATGAGCTGGTGCCACTTCTTGGAAGCTTAAGTTGTTTATATGCAGTTTGCAGGGCTTCAGGAAAAAGTGCAGTTTTTGGTTAGCAAGCCAAGTAAAAAGGATGGGGAAGAAAAACAAAAATGTTAGTTGGGGGAGTTGTAGCCAGGCACTGGAGAAAACCACGAGAAATCAGGATCTTGTCCAGTTTATAATGAAGTGTATTAGAATATAGTATTCACAAAGGTATGTTATTGGAAGTTTTTCTCTTTATAAGCACACTCATTTTTACCAGACATAGCCCAGTTGAGACTAATCGGTTTGCAAAATAAGTCTAGTTTTTTAGAACTTGGTCTGATTCCTTATATGATATGCAGCAAGAATAGCGATTGATTGTGTAGGCTCTTTTTATAAGGACTCTCCAGACTGAACTTTACAGCCTCTCAAGGTTAGAAGCCAAGCCAAATACTTGCCACAGATTTCACCTGTAAGATTTGGATTAATTCTTTCTCAGGGTCTCCAAAGTACCCTGAGGTTCTTTTTCCTGCCAGGAAGTGACCATCTCTCTTCAACTGGTAAGTTTGTTAGGAACCCTGTCAGCAAGATATCAGGCTGTTTTTCCAGGGGGCTTTATTGGCTCCATATAGTCAACCTTAGTTCCTTAAGCTGTCTGGTAGTATCTGAGTTTATGCAGGTCTCCCTCAAATATGACATTCCAGTCAAAGCCTTGGTAATATAACCAGGGTTTCCAGTTGTGTCCTGTTACTTATTGAACTTTTGCAAATGAATATATTATGAAAATATAAGAATACTGAGAGTTTTTGAATTCCTAAGGGATCAGGTAGAGAGAAGATAAATGTTTTATTCACAAAGGTATATTTTATCAAATTGCTGTAAGTTATCTTAATTTCTTTAAATCTGGATAAACAATGTTTCAACCAAAGAAAGTCATAAAAATTACAATCATCCTCCATTCAGTCCCATGTTATTATTGTTTTGCTTTAATTCTTCTCTAGAAATCTAATTCTTTCATTAGTTCTGGAAATTCTTACCGAGTACAGTTGCATGATCTTAATATTATCAGAAACCTGTACTCCAATTTCTTTCCATGAGTCTCAGTGCAGACGAAACACATTTGCAGGAGGGCTTGTAAAAGCATCTGAGTATAACAGTCTGGAAACAACAAAAGACTTAAAAGTGGCCATGGCTAGAGATCTGATTAGAGTTCATAACAGTGCAGTTGACAAGGAAATTCGGTTATTTCTGTGACACACAACACTTCAAACAACATACTAGGACATACCTGATTTCTAAGAGCTTCATACAGTTTTTAATAACATTTCTATATAATTATAATCTGAGAGAGTTCAGTATCACTCAGTTGACAGAGCTTCCCATTTAACATAACCAGCCTAATTAGTGTAATCTTTTTATAAGGAGACCAAATATCTATGGGCCCTCTGGAATATTTCAGTTAGATGGTGATGAAAAGACTTTATTGACAAACTTTCCAGAATCAAATTCTAAACATCAAAATGTTTGAACATTTTATTAAATAGGATTGCTGATCATTCTAAAATATTTAACCAAAGTGACAAAAGATTTTAAAGGCAAATACCCAAGGTTACATAATTGTGAGCAAAAGTTGGCTCTTTTAATATTGAAGACTTGGTTTTCCTGAATGATCAAAGATCTGATGAAGACATAGAATCTTAGATTATTGGTTTGCTTTGCATAAATTGTAAACAAAACTAATGTTAAAACTTAAATTTATTCTAATCTTAGCCATTAGTGACCATATATAAAATTCCTTTTTTACATTCAGATTTTGTTCTAAGTTTTTCCTCAACAAAAATGTCTTTGCATTCCTCATACCTTTCTCTTAGTGAAAGCATCTTCCTCGTATAAAGAGTTGTTTCTTTTATTTGGGGTAGCTTTAATCCATTTAATTTGAATTCTTAGGTGAAGTTTGTGAAGTAGGAAAACGATCTCCCCTTCTCTGAGGGCTGACTGGACAGCTTCCCATAGAGAACAGCAAAAGAGACCGACATGGTAACAACTGGGAACCCCCACCCCAACACTGTAAAGTGCAGTGGGGAGGGATAGAATTGAGGGACTGAACAGATTTATATGCCCTGGAATGCAGATAATATTCTAGTTGCCTTTTTAAACCATGGCTTTTTAAGGAACTAGCTCTCTACCAAGCAGTAGGGGGCCTGCCGGAACACTGTCCGGTCAGAGAGGCTGCAGCATGTGCCTGTTTACACTCCTTCACCCTGATAATGCAGATTTAAATAGGATCCAGGCTCCCGGGCTGGCCTACTGCTTCTGTGAGCCCAGGGCCCCAGCAGATACTGGGTATACCTGGACAGCATAGACTACAGCTCCAGCTGAATCACCAAGGTGACACAGGGGCAAAGCATCTTGGGATAGTCCAGATGACTTGCCTGGGCACCCCCCTGCACATATTGCTGGGGGACTTTCCACCCAGGCCTCCTGCGGCTCCAGCAGTCTTACCATTATGTACCTTGCAGAAAAATGCCCCGGGTTCCCCCAGCTTGTCCCTACTTCAGCTTCAGCTGTCCTGCTGGAGTGCTCTCTGCAGAGCCCTGGGATCCCCAGTCCACACACCTGCTACAGCCAGCCCAGTGGCCAGGCACACAGTCTACACCAGCCAGCCTTCCACAAGGCAATTTCCTCAAGTTTAGAAAGGAAGTAGCTCTTCTACCTGTTTCATAGAAATAAACACAAAATGAAGAATGTGCTCTAACCAAAAGCACAAAACTTCAGGAAAAGAACTAAATGAAATGGAGATCAACAATCTACCTGATAGACGTAAGAGTAGATGAATTCAGAACTTCAACAAAGAGAAAATATAAAAAAGAGCCAGAGGGAAAGAATACAGTAACAAATGAAAAATACACTAGAAAGAATCAACAGCAAATTAGAGGATGCAGAGGAGTGGATCAGTGATCTGGAAGACCGGCTAATGGAAAGCACCCAATCTGAAGAGCAAAAGAAATTTTTAATGCTGATAGGTTAAGAGATCTCTGGGACAACATCAAGCATATGAATATTCACATTATAGGGCTCCTAGAAAGAAGAGAGAACTTAACTAACCTGGGGGAAGGAAAGAGACATCCAGGTCTAGGGGGCACAGAGAGCCCCAAACAAGACAGACACATAATTAAAATGTCAAAGATTAAAGATAGATAATCTTAAAAGGAGCCAGCAAGAAGCAACTAGGTATGTACAAAGAACCGCCCCCCCCCCCGCCCAAGGCTATATGATTTTTCAGCAGAAATTTTGCAGGCCAGAAGGGAGAGGCATGACACATTCAAAGTGCTGAAAAGAAAAAAACCTATAACCAAGAGTACTTTACTGATCAAGATGGTCATTCAGAATTGGAGAGAAGGAATTTCCCAAACCTAAGGTAAAGGAGTTTATCACCACTCAACTGGCCTTACAAGAAATGTTAAAGGGAATTCCTTTTTTTTTTTAAAGATTTTATTTATTTATTTGACAGACGCAGAGGGAGAAGCAGGCCTCTGGCGGAGCAGGGAGCCCGACGCAGGGCTTGATCCCATGACCCTGGGATCATGACCAGAGCCAAAGGCAGACGCCCAACGACTGAGCCACCCACGCGCCCCAAAGAGAATTCTTTAAGTGGAAAAGAAAAGCCCATAATTAGAAGAAAATTAGGAAAAGGAAAAACTTTCACAAGTAAAAGCAGATATACAAAGTAGTATATCAATCACTATAAAATTAATGATTAAAAGACAAAGGTAGTAATATCAATTATATCTAATAGTTAAATTATATCTAAATAGGGACTCAAAAAATAAGATGTAAAATATATACATAAAATATGGAGGGGGCTGTAAAATTGAAGTTCTTTTAGAATGTGTTCGAACTTAAGCAACAATCAGTCAACAATACAGACTTATATACTTAGGATCTTATATATAAGCCTCACGGTAATTACAAACCAGAAATCTATAATAGAGACACAAAAATAAAAAGGATAACACTAAAGAAAGTCATCAATTACAAGGAAACAAAACTATAACCAGAAAACAATGAACAAAATGGCACTAAATACATACTTATTAGTAATTACCTTAAATATAAATGCTCAAATCAAAAGACATAGGGTTCTCTCTCCCTCTCTCTCATAAATGAATTAAAAAAGGGGGCACCTGGGTGGCTGAGTCACTTAAGCATCTGCCTTCATGACTGCCTTCAGCTCAGGTCATGGTCTCGGGGTCCACACAGAGGCTGTTTGTCCCTCTCCTTCCCCGTCTGCTCCTCCCCCAACTTGTGTGCGCTCTCTCTCTCAAATAAATGAATAAAATCCTAAAAACAAAAGACATAGGGTAACAGGATAAAACAACCAGACCCATCTATATGCTGCCTACAAGGGACTTACTTCAGACCACTTACAGAGTAAAAGTGAAAGGATGGAAAAAAAGATTTCATGCAAATGAAAGGGAGAAAAAAAAACTGGGGTAGCAATACTTACACAAAATAAACTTTAAAACAAAGGCATTATATAATGATAATGGGATCAATCAAGAGGATATAACAATTATAAATATCTATTCACCCACCATTGGAGCACCTAAATATATAAAGCAAATATTAACAAAGGGAGAAATTGACAATAACAGGAGGGGAATTTAACATCCCACTTGGATCAATAGATAGAGCATCCAGACAGAAAATAAGTAAACTGTGGCTTTGATGGGTTTTACAGATATATATAGAACATTCCATCCAAAAACAACAGAAACACATTCTTTTTAAGTACACATATAACATTCTCCAGAATGGATCACATGTTAGGCCACCAAACAAGTCTCAATTAATTTAAGAAGATTGAAATCCTATCAAGCATCTTTTTTGACCACAATAGTACAAAACTAGAAATTACAAGAATGGGGGAAAAAAAAAAAACACATACGCACATGGAGCCTAAACATGTTACTACCTAACCAGTGGGTCAATGAAGAAATAATAAATGAAAAAATGGAGACAAATGAAAACCTAACAGTCCAAAAATCTTTGGGACACAATGAAAACACTTCTAAGAAGTTTATAGCATTAGAGGCCTACCTTAAGAAATGAGAAAAATTTCAAATAATCTAACTTAACATGTAAAGGAACTTGAAAAAGAACTTTAACAAAGCCCAAAGTTAGTAGAATGAAGGAAATAAGTGAAACAAACTAAAAAAATTATAAAAGATCAAGGAAACCAAGAGCTGGTTCTTTGAAAAGATAAACATAATTGATAAGAAAAAAAGGACTGAAATTAAAATCAGAAATGAAGTAACCACTGACATCACAAAATGACAAAGGATTATAAGAGGCTACAAAAAATATATATCAACAAATTGGGCAATCTAGAAGAAATGGATAAATTCCTGGAAGTATAGAGTCTTCCAAAAGTGATTCAGGAAGAAATAAAAAATCTGAACAGACTGATTACCAGTAATGAAATTGAATGGGTAATCAAAAAGTTCTCAGAAGTCTAGGAACTGATGGCTTCACGGATGAATTCTGCCAGACATTTAAAGAAGATTTAAGGGACGTAAATAAGAGTTAATTCCAGTTTTCCTCAAACTCTTCCAAAAAATAGAAGAGGAAGGAAAGCTTCCAAATTCATTTAACAAGGCCAGCATTACCCTCATACCCAAATCAGACAAAGACAGTATAAGAAAACTACAGGCTAATGTCCCTGATAAACACAGATTCAAAAATTCTCAACAAAATATTAAACTGAATCCAACAATACATTAAAAGAATCATTTGTTATCATGTGGGATTTATTCCAGGGATGCAAGTATGGTTCAATGTCTGCAAATCGATCACCGTAATACATCACATCAACAAAATGAAGATTAGGGGCACCTGGGTGGCTCAGTCGGTTAAGTGTCCAACTCTTGATTTTGGCTCAGGTCATGGTCAGGGTCCTGGGATCAAGCACTGTGTTGGGCTCCATGCTCAGCAGGGAGTGTGTGTGGGGATTCTCTCTCTCTTAAATCTTTAAAAAAAAAAAAAAAGGATAAAAAGCATATGACCATCTCCAGAGATGCTGAAAAAGCATTTGACAAGATTTATTAGAGGAAATCTATCTCAGCATAACAAAGGGCATTATGATAAACACATAGCTAACATTATACTCAATGAGGAAAACTTTCAGTTAACAGCTTTTCCTCTAAGATCTGAAACAAGACAAGGATGTTCATCTACTCTAGCTACTTTTACTCAACATAGTACTGGAAGTCCGAGCCACAGCAGTCAGGTAAGAAAAAGACATAAAAGACATCCAAATTGGTAAGGAAGAAGTAAAACTTTCACTATTTGCAGAAGACATAATATTGTATTAAAAAACCCTAAAGACTCCACCAAAGAACTATTAGAACTGATAAATGAATTCAGTAATGGTCTCAGGATATAAAATTAATGTGAATCTTTCATTTCTGTACATTAATAATGAAATAGCAGAAAGAGAAATTAAGAAAACAATCCTATTTATAATTGTACCAAAAGGAATAAAATACCTAGGATTAAACTTAACCAAGGAGGTGAAAGATTGGTACTCTGAGAACTATAAAATATTGATGAAAAAAATTAAAGATGATGCAACAAATGGGAAGATATCCCATGCTCATAGAATGGAAGAACCAATATTGTTCAAATATCCATACTACCCAAAGCAATATACTGATTTAATGCAATCCTCATCGAAATACCAATAGCATTTTTCACAGAACTAGAACAAATAATACTAAGAATTTGTATGGAACCACACAAGACCCCAA